TTTTTTTTTTTTTGGTAACGTAAATTATTTATTTAATTATTTAACAATGAAATTTTTTCTGATATTTTAAAGATTATTCAGATTTCAAATACAAATTGTATATGTCAAATCTCACCTTCAAATTTCTACCTATATATCTAAACATATAGAGTTTTCGAGTCTATGTGTCGATTTCTAACGCCCTTTGCACCTATTTACCAAATTATAGTGGCTTAAAATATTTTGATTCAATATATTATGCGTAAGTGCTGTTAAATTAAACGGGTCTGGCTCGGTTCGGCTCGAGCTTGGCTCGTTAAGGCTCGGTTCGGCTCGAGTTTGAAGCCTTAACGAGTCGAGCTCGAGCTCATTTAAAGCTCGTTTGGTTAACGAGCCGAACTCGGCTCGACTCGATAAGGCTCGAAAAGTGAAATTTATGTAATTTTTTATAGTTCTGCTCGTTGAAACTCGAGATCGGCTCGAGCTCGAGGCCTTAACGAGCCGAGCTCGAGCTTGATTTTTGGCTCGTTTACTTAACGAGCCGAACTCGGCTCGGCTCGTTAAGAGCTCGAGCTCGAGCTCAAACACCTTAAGCTCGAGCTCGGCTCGGCTCGTTTACAACCCCAATTATGCGTGTAACATGCATGCTATATTAGACGGCACCGGAACCGGGATGGATTAAAATGAACACTAATGATGCATTTCGTCAATCTCACGGACCCGAGTGGTGCGGGTGGACTGCTTCGAGACGACAACGGAGGTTGGATCGAGGGTTTTCTTATGAATACTGAGTTTTGCACTTACGGGCGCGGAACTCTGGGTTCTATTTCAGGGGCTACAGCAGGCTTGGGATAAATGGTACCGTCAAGTTATTGTTGAGATTGATAGCCAATGCATGACGAGAATGGTACTTAGCTCAGACAATACGGTTGGATCCCATGACACTTTGGTCAAAGGCATTCATAATTTGATCTAGAGAGTGGCACGCTAGGATACTTCAATGCATAGGGAAGCAAACTTTGCAGCTGACCATTTGACGAGCATGGCGGCATCCTGCCCGATTGGTTCGCGAAGAATTCCCTCACTTCCGTTAGGTATGAAAATTTGGCTTGAATACGACATTATTGAGGTATCGTATTCCCGTCGAGTTCTAGCCTAATCGCCCCTGTCAGGCCTTTGGCCTCTTTCATTGTATTGAAAAAAAAAATATTTTGATTTTTATTCCTACTATTAGGATTTTTAAAATTATGAAACACTTAATGAACTAAAATAATAAATTTAGAACTTAATAATTTTTTATTCATTCTGTTTTTCCATATAATATAGCAAAATAATCGTATTCTGGCGATTTTTTAATTTGACGTTCATAAAACATATATCAAGCTTTGCATACAGGCACCAAATAAAAATACAACGTTATTTTTTTGTTTAGTAAGTATAAAATTATTAACAACATAAAATTTATAAGATTATAATCAATCTTAAATAGTCTTCAATTTAAAAAGAAAAATCTTAAAATATCATTACGTCTCGTGACACAGCCAAAGGCTACAGCCACACCAAACGAACCATAACCACCAAGCATGAAGCATTCCACATCACACTGACTCGTGACACAGCCACAGTAAATGTTTCTTGGACAACATTACATTATCAACACTCAAGATGTTGTTGTATTCACGTCTCGTGTGTTCGCAGAAATCCGAACAGATGAGAGGACAATCGAAGGAGGGTCTCAATCTCTTCCGGGTCAAACGCCTGACATGACCCGCAAAACGTGCTCCTCAACATCAATATTTTTAATATTCCCATTTTTCCGCCAAATTCTACTTTATTAATCTTTGTCATCAATGTCCCTGGAGTATGCTTCGAATCCACCAACGTACGTAGCCTCAACAAGAGCAGAACCTTCTTCAGCAAACTTATCCCATGAGTCAGCAGATAGAATCACAAAATCTGCCATTTTACAGAGAGCCTACATCCTCATCAAGGAAGCACGCCCGAGCAGCTGAAATAGTATACCTACCGAGAAGTGAAATAAATAAACTCACTTAGAGATTGGTCCATAAAAGTCTAATAAAATAGTATCCCTTTGTTGTATACTTACAATATATGCTATAGCTCTTAGAGCACAAGACCAAGTGATTTTCAAATAAGAATCTCAGACGAAATGCATTTGAAGTCTAGACTAAGTAAACTTGACTTATATATTCAAAATATAAATACCCTCCTTGCGCCATTACATGTTTGAATGCTATTGAAATGCTTACAACTTTAGAACACAATTCGGGACTCTTATGATTAGATCACACGACAAGGGTATTCCTTCTGATTAACCTTAGAATATAATATATGAGGTAACAGTCCTTACCCATTCAATGCATCTTTTAAGCTAATTCGTTCGGATGGAAGAAGCATTGTACACAGAAAATTTGGACATGGATCTCTATCTAAATCACATCAACCATGCGTACATGAGAAGCTCGACGACAGAAAATAAAAAGGAAAAATAAGGGAGAAAGAAGAGAAAGCTATAGCATGTACACTAGGAGAATGAGAAGGTTCAAAACTGAATAGCTTGAAATCTATTGGATCCAACTAAGTTATACGTGCCAGATTGCGATAGGACTTACTTGATAATGCTTCTTTGATCTTGTTCACAAATTGGTCCTTTCGGCTGATGCCACGAAGTTGAACTCAAGCTATCTCCTTCTTTTTCAACTTAAATTAATTATTGAAGTTGTAACTACAAAAAATATTTTCATGTAATATCGTTTCTTATTCAGTGCAACTTGCCAAGGTTCAGGTGCGGTAATGAATATTCACTTCACCCAATCCAAGTAAACATAATAATTTTATATTTACTGAAAATTACGTTTTTAGCGCTCATTATGGATTGTGGTCACCTATCATATTACTCGAATACTCCCTTGGATAAAAAGAAAAAATAATAATAACCTTTACATTACAGAACAATTACAAGTTAAAATATGATGAAATCAAATGAGGTTTATGTCACTTCTTTTTCGAAGTACTCGTCTAAATCCCAAGTTCGACTTTCTGCGTGACCTCTTCATGATTAACTTTGCTAATATGCATGTCCCTTCTGGTCCTTAATATGTATTGCAGCAGAATAAAGGGTTAGATAGTTTTAGGCTGTCTGAGTATTGTAATTATAAACTACACAAGAACAAACAAGTCAGAATACCTGATTTATTCCAAGTATTTGTAAAAGCTCGGAATTAATTTACCAACCAACGAACCAATAACTTGGCTCAAGCACAACTGTGCTATGTTCCCATGATCCTTAGATATATCAAGGCAAAAGAAGATTATGAGCAACCGAATCCACCCGGCTAAAAGCTCGTTCCTTTTTAACTTTATTCTCATCCATCATTATCCTGATTCGATCCGCATCGTTCCATCTCTCTGCGTCCACATACATATTGTACAGCAGAACATAAGCTCCAGAGCTTTCTGGCTCAAGCCTCATCAATGCCTCAGCCGCAACTCTCGCCAGCTCCACATTACCGTGCACCCTACACGCGCCCAACAACGCCCCCCACACGGCCGAGTCAGGCTCCATAGGCATGTGCCTAATTATATCCATAGCCTCCTCAACCCGCCCGTATCTTCCCACAACATCCACAACTGATGTGAAATGCTCCACCTGCGGCTCGATCCCAAAATCGCTAATCATTGATTTGAAGTAGGATTTTGCTTGTTCAACGAGACCGCCATGCGCGCACGCACTTAAAACCGATATGAACGTGATGTAAGTCGGTTTCACTTTGAAACGCTTCATCGACTCGAAAAGTTCAATAGCCTCTTTTGCAAAACCGTGGGATGCGTAACCGCCTATCATAGCATTCCAAGAGATGGCATCCTTTCGTGATTCCATCTCGTTGAAAACGGTATTTGCTTCGGATATTGCTCCACATCTTGCGTACATGGTGATAAGGGAATTATTCAGAGGGGTGTCTGGAATAACCGTCTTCATTATCAATTGATGAATTTGCATGCCAAGATGCGGATCTGCTGTTTCAGCACACATGCTGAGAAGTGAAGACAGAGTGTGCCGGTCGGGTTTTTCCTCTCCTTGGGCTTGCATGTGAACAAACAGCTCGATTGCTTCACTGAAGCTTCCATTTTTTTCGTACCCAGCAATTATGGTGTTCCATGAAACTCGATTCTTCACGGGCATTCTCTGGAAAAATTCGAGCGCAGCCTCCATATTACCCACCAACGCAAAGCCCGAGATTATCGAATTCCACGACAAGACATCAGGAGATTTCATTTCAGAAAAGAGCATCAAGGCGGCCTCCATATCAAATGCAAGAACATAACCACTAATCATAGTGTTCCACGTCACAGTGTCTCGACTCTCCGCCATCTGATCAAACAGATCCCTTGCACTAGCCATGTCTCCAGCTTTCACATATGACATTATCATCGAATTCCAAGAGACCACATTTCTTTCAGACCTCGTGTGTTGAGGGATAATATCAAAAAGGCGCCGGGCATCCCCCACCCTTCCCTTCTGACCATACCCTGCAATCA